GTCTCCATCAACTCTGAAACTGGGAATCTGTACACCATCCGATCTCTGGACTATGAGCAGGTGAAAGATTTCCAAGTGGCCGTGAGGGCTGTGGATAGTGGTTCTCCACCCCTGAGCTCCCAGGTCATGGTCCGAGTCATTGTCATGGATGAAAATGATAATGTCCCGTTCATCCTCTACCCTCTTCAGAACGGCACTTCCCCATCCAATGACCTGGTTCCCAGGGGGGCGGAGGCTGGGTACCTGGTCACCAAGGTGGTGGCCGTGGACAGAGATTCTGGTCAGAACGCGTGGCTTTCCTATGAGCTCCTGAAGGCCACAGAACCGGGTCTGTTCAGTGTGGGGGCCCAGAATGGAGAAGTGAAAACCATGCGGCCCATTAACAAACGAGACACCTTCAAACAGAAACTTATCATTGGAGTTAGAGACAATGGTCACCCTCCCCAGTCCACCTCTGCAACGCTAAGCATTCTGCTAGTGGACGGTTTTTCTGACCCTTATATGAAAATTGTGAGCATCCCAAAAGATGAAGTGGTGGAAGAGGAAGACCGTACCCTGACGATGTATCTGGTCATATGCTTGGCTGTCATCTCTTTCATATTTTTGTTTTCTATGTTGGTGTTTTTTGCCATCAAGATTAATAAAAGGAGGAAGTTCGTAGGGAGCTCTGCTTTGAATTTCCCAGTGGGACCGAATTTCCCTGAGAACTGTGGAGATGCTGATGCTGGATCCCTCTCTCGGGCTTACAATTATGAGGTGTGCTTAGCTGGTGGATCTCTGAACAGCGAGTTCAGGTTTCTCAGGCCTCTCTTTCCTGTTTTTTCTGTGGAGCCTGCTCAGTCCCAGGGGACTCAAAGGATTTCACCAGGTTCCCAAGAAGTTCCCAGTCATGGTGCAGAAGGTCAGCTTATGAGCCAGGTGAGAATAATTGATTTTATATATAATTATTATTGAATGAATCCTATTAGCCTCAAATAAGTATTTGCTTTTTGAACTCCATTGAATCACTAGAAATGATACGGTGTGCTTTTCCTTGCACCCATATTGATCCTCTTCCAATCTGTCTCCTCTTGTACATCTTTTTGAACATGCAAAGAAACAACAAGAACCATACTACATATGAAATGGAACCATGTATGAAACAATATACCTGAGTCCAGGGGTATTTTTGGGCAGGAACGCACAGGAACGGAGTTCCGGCTGGCTCCTGAGTTGGCCACGCCCAGCAGGAGCTCATTAGCATAATAGGCCACACCCAACAGCAGAAACTCATTAGGATTGGCTACATTAGGGGTGTGTGGCCTAACATGCAAAGGAGTTCCTACTACAAAAAAAACCCCTGGGTTTTGACAACAAACAAGGTAAACAGACTAAGAAGCAAAAGGTGGGTGTGGCTGGATGTCCACACTTCTGGTAACTTGGGGGCGTGGCCTAATATGCTAATGAGCCATACTATCAGGGGTGTGGCCTAATATGCTAATGAGTTTCTGCTGTTGGGCATGGCTTATTATGCTAATGAGTTCCTGCTGGGCTTTTTAAAAAAAAATGCCCTGCCTGAGACATTAGTGTAAATCAAGCACAATATTGACTGGATTCGTGTTTAATTCCACGGTTCTCAAACCATGGGTTACCTTCATAAAATGGGTCAATATTGTCCATAGGTTAGTCACAGAAAGGAAGAAGAAGCAGGATGAGCTTAACACACATGAAGCTGCCTTATACTGAATCAGACCCTTGGTCTATCAGAGTCAGTCTTGTTTACTCAGTCTGACATTGGCTCTGCTTGCATATTACTTCCTACCTGGTTCTTGATGCTGGGATTGAACCTGGGACCTTCTGCATGTCAAGAAGATGCACCGAGCCATTGCCCTTGGCCATAGAAGAGAAGATGCTAGACAGATGTAATTTCTTTCTTTTAAGGACATACAAAGAGCCCTGCTGGATCAGACCCAGTGGTCTATCCACTGTCTCACACAGTGGCCAGTCTGTTCCTCTGGATGGCCAACAACAGGACATAGAGGCTGATGTTTCATCCTGGCACTAGAATTCAGAGGTTTACTGCCTCTGAACATGGAGATTCCATTTAGTCACTATGGCTAGTAGCCACTGATAGACTTCTCCACAGATAGGTCATGTTTGAAGCTCTCTGTGCCTGTGGCCTTCACTTCCCATTCATTGATAACACACTCTGCCCTTTGTTATCTATTTTCCTGCAGAAGTCTTTCTTCAACCAAGAGAGTAGAAGCTACTTCACACATTAGATTTTTAGGTGTACTAATGTTCCCTCTAAGCTGTGGAGTCTTGTGAGCAAAAATTATACTTTGTGAGCGACTGGTATTAAAATTTTGAACGAGCGATTTGGCTGTTGCATAAATTAGTTTGCTCTGGAGCCATCCTTCCTGAGCTGAGACGAAAACGTGTGAGCCATAGGTTAAAAAACTGATACTTCACACATTAGATTTTTAGGTGTACTTGTGATAATTTCATGGGTGTTTCTAAAAATGCAAACTGAATTTGGCATTTGCACATTTATAAATGTGAGCACTGAATGACGAGCTCTTCAGAGAGTGGGACAGGCCGCAGGTCCCGTGGAGCATATAGTCAGTGCCAGATTTGGAGTTGCCTGTGCATAGTGTGCAAGAGGACCATGAGATCTTTACACAGCTTGTTGCTCAGTATTGCTATTAATAAATAACCTTGTTCATTGTTAAAGTGGTACAAGATTCTTGCATTTTATGTGTGTGAATTAGTTTATTTGGGTTAATTTGCCATTGGATCCTGAAAGATCGATTAAATGTAGACGTGGATCCCTCTTCAAAACATTTGAGAACCACAGGTTTAATAGACAACATACAATCTTTTTGGTTTTCTTCTGCGTGGACCACAAGATGGCAGTATTGGCAAACAGATGAGTTGCAACTTGCATTTCAGACAAAATCACATTCTAGCAGCCCAAGGAGAAATCTATGAACAGACAGACAGACTCTGAAGGCAAAGAGGAGGTGCAATGGAAGACTGAAGGAAGGAAAGCAATGAACACCACATATCAAGATTAATTTCTCCAACAGTATCAATTGTCACTGGATATTACCCAGCTTCTTTATGTTTTGAAAACCATAAATACCTGACCTGGGAGAGTCTGGCACCATGGATGATAGCTTCAGGATGAGAAAAGGTCTGTACCTTTTGTTCTTACTCTGTCTGTCTGGAGTGGTGTGTGTCTCAATTCGTTATTCTTTGCCTGAGGAGAAGAAAAGTGGGTCTCTGGTAGCTAATGTGCTGAAGGATTTGAAACTGGGACCAGGGGAGCTCTCTGCTCGCAGAGCCCAGCTGGTTTCCAAAAGCAAGAAGCAGTATTTCCAGCTGGATAGCCATTCTGGAAATCTGTTTGTAAATGACAAAGTAGACAGAGAAGCTTTGTGTGGCGAGATGGAGCCTTGCTTACTGTTGTCTGAAATTGTGCTCCAGAACCCTTTAAAGATCTACAATATTGAGACTGAAATCAAAGATGTGAATGACAATTCTCCTGAATTCTCAAAAACTGAATTTAATCTAGAAATTCCTGAGATTGTTCCCATAAATACTCGATTTCCCTTGGAATCTGCCGAAGATGCAGACTTGGGTGAAAACAGTATTAAGAACTACACCCTCAGTCCCAATGGGAATTTCAGGCTGGATGTACAAAGTGATGAATTTGGAAGCAAATATGTGGACCTTGTTCTGGAGAAGTCACTAGACAGGGAGGAGAAGGATCAATTTGGGCTGACTCTCACAGCTGTTGATGGAGGGGTGCCCCAGAGAACAGGCACAGTCCAAATAAACATTAATGTTCTGGACATCAATGACAATTTCCCTAAATTTACACAATCTGAATACAAAGTGAAGCTAAAGGAAAACAGTCCTCGTGGTACTCTAGTGTCTAAAGTGGAAGCCAGAGATTTGGATTTTGGTTCAAATGCACAGATCTCTTATTCGTTTCAGCGGGTGCCTCAGAAAATAAGCAAATTGTTCCAGTTACATCAAATGACTGGGGAAATCACTGTTGTGGGACCAATTGACTATGAAAAAGAAACTAGCTATAATATGAACATCAAAGCAACAGATGGAGGTGGGCTTTCAGGCCACTGCAAGGTCCTGGTGGAAATTGAGGATGAGAATGACAATGCCCCAGAGATATCGGTCATGTCCATCACCAGCCCTTTAGCAGAAGATTCTCCCCTAGATACTCTGGTCGTGCTCTTCAGTGTCACAGACCAAGACTCTGGAGAAAATGGAAAGACCTCCTGCTCCATGGATATGAACTTGCCCTTTCTGCTAAAAAACACTGTGAATAATTATCATCAACTGGTGACCCAAAGGCCACTGGACAGAGAGAAAGTCCCTGAGTATAACATCACCATCACAGCGACTGATCGGGGCTCTCCCAGACTCATTTCCATTAGGAATATTAATGTAGAGATTTCTGATGTCAATGACAATTCTCCAGTGTTTGAGAAGTCGCAGTATGAAATGCAAGTGTGGGAAAACAACATTCCAGGCCTGCTGATGGGTTCGGTCCGTGCTGTCGATCTGGACGTGGAGCAGAATGCCAAGGTGACTTATTCTCTTGTGCCTGGAAATGCTGGTAGTGCTCCCGCAGACTCTTATGTTTCCATCAACTCTGAGACGGGGAATCTGTATGTCCTGCGATCTCTGGATTATGAGCAGATCAAGGAATTCCAAGTGAGAGTGAGGGCTTCAGATGGGGGTTCTCCTCCACTGAGCTCAGAGGTTGTTGTTCGAGTTGTGATCCTGGATGAAAACGATAATGCTCCCTTCTTCCTCTACCCACTTCAGAACAGCACATCCCCCTGCAACGAGCTGGTTCCCAAGTCAGTGGAGTCCGGTTATCTGGTCGCCAAGGTGGTGGCTGTGGATGGGGATTCGGGCCAGAACTCTTGGCTTTCCTTTGAACTGCTGAAGGCCACGGACCCCGGCCTTTTCAGCATAGGAGCCCAGAACGGAGAAGTGAAAACCAGGAGACCACTGACGGAGCGAGATACCAACAAGCAGAGACTGATTATCCTCGTGAGAGACAACGGCCACCCTCCCCAGAC